CAGATATATTTCTTGCAACAGTGCTATACTCCGTTTCATACTTAGCGTGCAACACTGTCAAAGCTAGTGGCGCGAGCGCGTGGCTTCGTCTATGGTTTTGTTTGCGCGAGAACACGTGCAAATGATCAACGAGGTCAAGCCCCATGCTCGCGCCAGTAGCTTTGAGAGCGTTGCACACTAAGTGTGCAACGCTCTCAAAGTATAGCAGGGCGGGACTGCAGCGTCTCCTTTGTGCTACGTTGTCAAAGCTAGCTTAGCCTCCACAGTGCTCCAACTCCATCACAGATAGTTGCATGCGCGAACGCATGCGAATGAAATGTAATAGACAAAGCCACGTGCTCTCGCAGCAGTGCGGGGCTGCTGCACATTGAAGCTACGCTAGTTTTGACAATATACCACAAGAACAGATAATATATAGAACCAAAAAGTTTATGCCACAAGTGCATGAGGCTAGTTCAGCCTGTCCAGTGACCTCAGCTCATCCGAATTATTTTGTTTACACGAGAAATCGCGCACAAAAGACACTTTTCAAAACCACACTCGCACCCGCGCTGATTTGTCAGCACTGGAGATGTTATCTACAAATTCACAACCCAGCAAACACGTGTTTTTTTGCCTTGGTAAGCATGGACACGAACAGAGAGAATGGCACCACCTCAGCACGTGCATGTTCGCCGCGTTGGAAAGTGCAAAGCACCTGCCATGGGCGCGAACGCTAAAATGGGGATGGCGCGTCCCTTGATCGCATACCGGGGCAACGAATACGCACATACTATAGTGTAAAGCTGCGCGTTGGGTGATACAGCGTGACAGCCCAATTCCGATTTAGGCAAGGACAGGTCCCGCTGTACCGTATAAACGAAAGGATGCATCAGGAGAGGGTGCTGACGCTGAAGGTTTTAGTTTGCCTGTGACAGGTAAGCGGTACTATGAACATAGTATCTACAATAATATATACATTATAAATATAGAAATATTCTAAACAAATATATTACATGTGCATGCCAAACGGTGTGCGAACTGCAAGGAAAAGAAATGTTCACGGTGTATACAAAATAATAAAAAATGAGTGATCTGTTATCTAAATCTAAAGTTGTCAAAACTAAAAAAAATTTGGGGCCAGAGGATTATGGTCACTACTCTACTCCGTCTCACAAATGTCTGCAGTAAAGACGGCACACGCGTGTGACCATAGCTCAGCAGAATCTCGTGCGTCAAAGACACTTCAAAACCACGCGCTCGTGATCGCAAAGATCAGCACTGCAGATCTTTTTGGGATGGAGTACAGGCTGTGTAGTCTGTAAATACATCTGACCGCCGCCGTCATGTATACCTATGTACATTACGTATTTTACTACAACACTGTAATGTACCAATTCTTTCATGATGAAGCACGTGCCAAATTACTCCAGCATCAAGTAGCATGGCAACGTATACGGTACACACGCTGAACGCACTCGCCTTATCAGTATAGGCAGTATAGGGTATTCACTGGACGCCATATTTGTGGGTGCTGTCTAGAGCGCATGCTCAGAAAGAGCTCACATTAATAGGCTGATAAGACCGGCAATCTTGATGGTGCGGAGTGCACGTAATAAAATAACTGTGGAAGCTCGCCGTCAGCACGCGCTCAGCAGTCGCGCACATAGCTATGGCCGCCAGTGATTACTCCCCATAACACGTTCGAGATAGTAAATAATCATAATAAAACGTTGATGAGTTCTTGTCCAAAGTGCCATTTGTATTAGGTTTCTGCTTTAGCTGAAGTGTGTGTGATTCGTGACGGTCTTGCATATCTTCACCTAATCTCAAGTGTTTTACCAAAATGAAAAAAAAAAAAAAAAAAAAAAGTTGCTTTTACGCAAGACAGGGTAAGTGGTAGAATGGGAGGAGAGGGAGTGGAATTCGGGGCGCCTTGGCACGGCCCAAAAGTGGTGTATGGCAGTGTGAAAACCATATAAATGCATTCCATCAAAGCATAGCAAACAACAAATATTGTTTTCATTGGAGACTCCTGTTTTTCCCCGAAGAACTATTTAAACAATTTTCCTGTTTTGAAAAATGAGTCACGCAAGCGTATTTTAAATTTTTGTTACAGACGAAAGCTTATGTAATACTGCAAAATCGATTATATTTACCGGAGAGGTGCACCTTTAGCCCATGGCCCCGCGTATAAGCCGCAAAAAATTGCTGGCACTGCGTTGTGATATTGTATAATATATATATATATACGTATATCTATATACGTATGCTGCATTGTATAGTAGAATTTGTGCCAACTTCCTCAGATAACAAAAGCAAATATTTCTTAATTGACTGAAATTTATGTCATCTTCACGTTTCTAGAAAGCGTGGAAGGGTTGTAAGTTCTCTTTAGACGCGTTGGTTTTCGGTGAAAATGAGTGCATGCTGTTGACATAGAGCATAGCGTACGCTACGAGTGATCCCAGTCAATCCAGCTGCGGCCCATCGTAAGGTCAAACGGAGTAGACTAATTTTGGGACGACGGACATGTCGCTTTGTTCAGCTAGCCGGCGATTGTACAAGAGTCAGAAATGGGCATATATATATATAAAGTCGATGCAGCCGTTAGCCACTCCGGTCTCAATAAGTTAAGGGCGCGCGGAGGGTAACAACAACATACCCTACAACTACAAAAAAAAAAATTATATACAAGGAAAGATTACCTAAATAATTGGTGAATTTGGGCCTATCTTAAAAACACGGACGAGAAATATTTTCTAACTGGTTAGTTTAAAACGTTTGTTCTATATGAATGTATATTTCAGCTCGAAAAATATACCAGGGCCCTTTTTCGACACCCAAAGTATACTTAACAATTACCGCGATATCGGATGATTGATGCACTGAAAATAAAATCCGACATGAAATTTCAGTTTTTTGTGCACTTTTATCAGCGTTTGGATTCTGCAAGAATGATAAAGTTAGAAACAAAAGCGTCTTATGCATTATCCACACCAGCGATTACGTCGATTTTTTAAAACGAAGAAAAACGTTCCATGGTTCCCTTGGGCGTACTTTCCCCGTCGCGCCGGAGAGAAGCCCGACTACGCGGTGCACGGCCGCTGTATGGGAGCTTTCTGATTTTCCTAAATACTAAACTCACCAACTCATGCAAGAAACATTAAAAAAAAAAAAAAAAAAAATTGCAGTTACACGCACACTTTTTTTTTTTTTTTTTTATTTAGCAGCGGGATTGGGACAACAACGGAGGAGCCCCTCTCCCTGCTACTTTCCCGCAGTGTTTGCCTGCTAAGGGAGAAGCTCCCCTCTAATTATGCAGGCACGTAGGGTTGGCAATCGGGTCAGCTGAACACGAAAAAACGGGACACGAAGGAAATGACTGGACAAATGGACCGCTGCTTGTCCAGTTCTTTCCTTCGTGTCCCGTCTTTCCGTGTTCAGATGACCCGATTGCTAACAGCATGTACCAACTAAAACCCATAGCACGAAGGGTGTCCGGTTTTATTTTCCTCCCCGACTTAGGTCAGTGTTAATTTCATTGAGGGCGACAAGTGTGTAAAATCAGCGAAATATAATTACCTAATTAAGCAACGAAGTAGGAAACGGTGCAAAACTGCATAACTAAATTTGGAAAATGTTTTGATCGCTTTAGCCTTTGCACGCTATCAAAGAGGCAGCATTGTGAGAACTTGTATTTTGCCTAGTACTTGCCGATAGAGAAATAAAGGCTGAATTAACACTGGTGGAAAGCCATACTTAAGAAAAAAAAAAAAAAGGAAAAGTGCAAATATTTGTATTTAATTTTTTTAAAACTTGATCTTGAGTTGGCCATTTCACACCTTTTCTATTTTCATCCTTGTTTTCCTTTTAAGTACCTAATAGCCTAGGCATGTGCTGTGAAGCCTAAGCTATATGTATTTTTATTTTTTTAAACATACATCTGCTAATAAAAGAAGCTGCAGGTACTCTAACCAACTGTGTTTATAGAGCCCAACGTTTTGTCGCCTGCTTGTTCACGGGCAATTTATTTGGCTGGGAGTGTGTATTTCTACTCTCCTTGTCGCTGCCATTTAAATCATTGTCCTCGCTTTGTTGCACCCTGAAGCCCGTGGATATAACTGCTTGGGATGGTACCGATCGACCTGTTCTGGTTGTTCTTTGTATGCTGAATAAGCTACAACTATAAAAAGTTGTTTTTTCAGTTCATCTCGAACCTGGAAAAAATTACTCTTGAGTCATGGCATATTCAGCATACAAAGAACCCGAACCTTCCCAAGCAGTTATATTCACGGGCTTCTAAGTGTCACAAAAAGGAGAGATTTAAAGGCAGCGACAAGGAGGAGAGAAAGACAAACTCCCAGCCAAATAAGCCACCCGTGAACAAGTAGGCCGCGAAATGTTGAGCTATTTGAACACAGCTGGTTAGTGTACCTGCAGCTTTTTATTAATACTCACCTAGCCAGGCACAATTTTGCCAAAATGTTTACTTTTCAAACATACATCTGTTGAACATAACTATTGTTATTATACTGGAACATGAAAACCTTAGTCCTCCCAGTCCCATGCGACGAATAACTGAAGAATGTCGCCCTACAACATACTCACTTTGCGCGGGATGTAGCAGCCACTGTGCCAATTCCATGCGCAGAACAAAAGCCGCCGGGCAAAATCAGATTTTTCACAGCATATTCGTCCCATGGAGTTCAGCCTCTATGGGTCATAATGCATATGCAAGTACAAAAGTTTCCTTGTAAATAAAAATAGGCTATCCCCCTTCGACTTAAAACTGACCTCCCAAGTTCTCAGGTACACAAGGGAGTCAGAGGAGGTTCACAAAACAATACATGTAGTTTACAGGCGTGAGCCCTCACAATTTTCCAGGCCAGCGGCAGCTGCCCGACTGTCAAATTTTACTTTCGGAATAGTACATACTTTAAGGCATGAAGGATCATAGATGGATGGATGGATGGGATCTTTCGAAGTAAATAATTCTCATTACCTACAAAAACAAAATGTCAAAGCTTCAACAGTTTATTTACACAAACACACTGCACCATTCCAACTTTTATTCAAGTGGTGACTAGCAGGCAGGACCAATGCCTTTGGTTCAGAAATGACGATGAACTGGGTGACAGAAACTTTGTGCTACAAGTCACAACTGAAGCAGCTTATTCAGAGTGGTGCCCAGGACGCCAATGGTGGGGTTCAAGCTGGGCTGCAAGAGAAAAGAATTGTCACAGTACAAGCACCGCAACCATCCATTTTAGACCACGTGGAACAGACATACACCACTTCAGTGCACCAAGGAGTGTGTTACTACTTTTAAAAACAAAACTCTTGGATAATGATCCCCTAAACAAAGTGAATTTACAAGTTAGTTTCAACATTCAACAAGTAATCAAAATTGTTGAGAGTAAAAACATATTCGAATATAGGTCATCCCTAATTTTGAAGTGGAAGGAAAGGAAATTCATACAAATATTTAACTCGTCGCATCATTTGTAACCCAGGTTTAAACTCATGTGTTGATCATGCTGGCAACGTCATCTTATGAACATTAAGAATAGCAACTGCATGCTTTCGTACCGAGCGAAAGCATTAAGTATTGAACAAAATAGCACATTAGTTCACATAAAAATAGTGCTCGAAGCATTTTTGATCATAATCACAAACCACTGTTGTAGATTTTTTTGTATTAGAAATGTCACTGAAAACCTGTTCATTTTTGTTATAAATATTCACTCTACTATAAAAAGGTAAACTGGCACTGCAATTGACCCTTTAGCAGTGGTATGCCAGAGTAGTTTATAACATTACTAGTCAGGGAACAGTGCTTTGCACTAACACATTTTGCTTCACATATACTATCTTGCAGATATTAGACACAAAGGCGCACAAGCTGAAGTTGACGTCTTTCACGATTGCAGCCAGTGCATTGATAGTAGGGGACAGATAGATGTATTTTTGGATTTCGCCAAGCATTTGATTGATTGTCCTGTCATCTAGCTGTTATGTAAAATTGCAGGTATCATTAAAGGGGCCCTGCAATCATATTTAAGCATCTAACTTTTTTGCGGTTTCCACATCTCTTGGTGTTCGGGCAAGCCAGCGGGCACGGAGAGAATGACTAAATATCAATGCGTCATATTTTAACCGGACGACGTGGACACCTTCTCTACCTACAAAGGCGACCCGCGGTGCTGAAAGTGTTGTGTTTGGTCCTTGCCTTAATACTGGTCAGAGCCGCTAAAAGCTTCTTTTTAAAAGCGCAAGCTCATAGTGTTGGCAGCCACTCTTAATTAAGTCACGAGAGCTTGTGCCGCCGAGATGTGCTCCAGAGCAAAGAGCTCGTGCTTGTAGCCTTTTTTGCGGTACATCATAAGGTGAAACAGAGTATAGCGGTGAGCGTAGAAAGGTCTCGAATGTACCCGGCGCCGCTGCGGTCGAGGATCCGACCGGTTCCGAAGGCCTTCGGAGCAGGTTTGGAAGTATGGCAGCGTGAAGTGGCTGCTTTACTGAACTGATCTTTATCCCGTGTTTGCTGTCGTTCGTGGCCAATGAAGTGTCATACCAAATTAGTGTTTAATCTCGCAGCAAATGCAATGCGAGCCGCCCTGGCTGCCCGCTTCATACAACCTATCCAGAACATGCTTTAGTGGTGTCCTCTCGAGCCGTTGACGCGGAGTGCAGCAGCGGTGAGCGCTCGCTGAGCTCGCTACCCCTCCTCTAGTTCACGGCCACTCAAGCAACGAAAGACGTCATGAAGGAGGTGTCTTTTTGCTTGTTTTTGTAATTTGAAATTGCCTATAACTTTTAGAATAAAGCGAGATCCAAATAAAAGAAAAGTTTCATTAGGTTACTACGTTCAGTGCGCTCAGGTTCGGTGCGAATTTAAAACTTTCAGCCTTTCCACTCTGATGAAGAAGGAAAGTCAGCGGCCGCCCATTACAAAATGCTGTATGAGGGGGAGGGGAGACCCCAGCAAAATGGAAGATTTCAGGGAGGGGGGGGCCCAGGCCCCATGGGCCCCTTCCCCCTGGCTACGTGCCTGGTGTATCACTACTGGGTGGTGCACGTTACCCCAAGCTAGCGGTTGTACTGCACTCGCTAAATTGCTCATCTACAGCTGGGAGACTCGTCGCCCTTTGAGGCATACCAAGTTCTAGGCTGTATAAACATACACACAACCGAATTTCGGATCTTGATGATGCAAGTCCGTTCCCGGCTGAGCTGAGCCCTCCTCATTCAACGCTTGTTGTTATTGCTGTCGTTTCTTCCTACTAAAGGCTATGGTTAGGGTTACACATTTTCTGTGTTTTTTTCTTCTCGAAATCGGGGGTATTTTATTTCGGGGTTTAATGTTTTCCTGCAGATTCCGTGGTTTTTGTTTAAATTGGTTATGACTACACCAATTCACACAAAAAACAGTGAATCTGTAAAAGAAATGGAACCCCCCCCCCCCCCCCCCCAAAATTCCCCCAATTTCTAGAAACAACAACAACAACAACAACAACAACAACAACAACAACAACAACAACACCGAAAACGCAGAACCCTAGTTATGGAGTATCATTTCACATGCACGAAAATTCAGCAAAGCGATTATTATTAAGTCGGATGCTTCCATAATCTTAGTGTTGTGGTTTGTATACGACAGCTGGTCCCATATATTTTTGGTATCTCACACAAACCATAGGTTTCATAAAACATTGAATGTTGATTGGGGCTGTGGTTTGATTAAAAATTAATCCTACTGATCGCTACCCTTTAATACACAAATCAATTGATAAATTTGTTAGTCGATTTTTCACCGGTCATTATGCATGTAAGACAATAAAACTACCTTTTTTAGTATGTCAGAAATGGCATATTGCATTCCCATTTTAAACTTCACGTTGTGACGCCTACAGAAATATAAACACAAGAAGCCTTTTAATGTGCAGTAATTTTTAAGTTATTATTTAAACAGTATAATCACCCTCTATGACAATCACATGCATGCTGAAGTGGTTTACCGTGCAAGCCTGTGTCATAAAAGAAATAAAATGTCAGAAATATAGACCATTCCATTTAGTGCTCTCTGGGCGGCACCATTTCGTTCGACAGCGGTGCCCTCTCCATACATCCGGAAAATTCAGCGGGTTTGGTGGGGTAAAACGAGAGAGGGCACGCGCCCGACTTGACTAGAAGACGACAAACCGGGAGGTTGTTATTCTCCATCTTAAGGCTGTACCGGCGGGCTGTACGGAACATCGAACTCTCGCTCGTGGCTGCTGTTGTGGAGTGGTCCGCGTTCTTAGAATAGTTATGGCTGCTCCAAAATCAGCCTATAGCTCTCTGTTGTTCTATTTCAATAAGTGATCAACTAGCATATCTTTTTTTCCGTTACTTAAATAGCAGTTGAGTCAGCCGGCAGTACTACCCTCAGCTACTGCGTTTATTGCGGCACGAGAGCATGTTTCTATTTATTATTTCGGACCTCACTCATGATCGCTAAAGGCCTACACCAGTATGAACTTTGAATAGTAAAAAAGGTACAGCCACCGGATTCACTTTTCGCCGTAGAGACCGGCAAATCTGACACAGTTATCACTATTTCTTTTTATTTGCACACAGGTAACGCAGTTGGACCCTGTTAGTCTTTTTATCTAGCATAGTATTACACGAGATCTGGCATACCAAAATCTGCGCATCTGCGCTTGAAATTCCCAAAATGACGCGATTTTAAACAGAGTTTGTACGCCAGCCGGATGCTAGGTACAGCCCACTCGGCGCAGCAGATGACAGAGGGTGAGGGCATTTTTTTCTCTCTATTACCCTCTTTGCTATGACCTTAATGGAACGGTCTATAGAGTAGGCATTTTTCACTTTTTCATGACTTCCTTTAGCACAAGATTCCAATTAAACGGCAAAACAAAATATCACAATTAAAGCATCACTCGAATAATCTGAAGGTTAATCAATGTACTGCCCAGTCCCAATATGTGTTAGGTGAGGGCAGAGGGTGATCGCAAAGTCTCGTGAGTCCCTAGCCCTCATCAGTAAAAGACTGTCGCTGCGGCCGATGCTGGCGACGTCGTGGTGCGGGTCATTTGATGAAGTTGCAGTGTCTACTATGTTTAAATAGAAGATTATTTAGCCAGAAATTTATAATATTGGCTTTTTGACATCCACAACCCTCACCGAGAAAATTGAAGCGGGTGAACCCACACTACCGAGAAAAGCATCTAATAGCACGCACGCTACTGCCTTGCTTGGTTACACCCGTTTGTTCCTATCGCGGCAGATATATTAGAATAGTTTGTTTCACTTGCTTCAGTTGTCCTGCCAACGATCAGTTTCCGGATTGTTAACTAGAAGAGGCACTCTCTCCTTATTGCAACATAGTAAAATTGTTCCGACTCCGAAAAGCTTACCCACATCATGGCACAGAAAAGGACAACAGGCTGCAGCAGAACTCAATAGCACGGTAATTTCTGATACAGCACTAGCTTCTCTTCATCCTAAATATTTATATTAATGAAAAAGCTCAGAATTGCAAAAACAAAAATGCATAGAACCTGCCATTTCACAGTCCACAGTACCCATATTATGTTATCCGGGTCACAATTAATTATTTTGTTAAATTCCCACGCTCGTGAACCGATAGAACTATTTTAAAAGAAAGAAATTTTTAACATAAATAGTGCAGTTTACCCAAAGACAGGCATCAGTCGTAGTGAGCCATGCTTCCCAACGTCTGCCTAGGGCGGACGACTCATCCACACACATGGTTATTTATACTTAAGCCGCACGCTGGTAAGACAATTCAATCTTTACTGACGCACCGAACGGTACCGCACCACTTTCCGCTAAAACTGTTTTCCCACCGATACTGCGCAACAAAATATATGCAAGAATTTACACCGTTTCACACGCGAACGTGGAGAGCCTATGGAACAGCAATGCTTCCATCCCCGCTTTGACAATGATGATAGCACGACAGCAGCGCCACCTCTAGGTCGATCCCGAGGCCAATAGCTTACTACTGCATGTGAGCAGGCTCACGGGAGGTCCTTGCTGCACAGGCTTCGAGCTGGATGTGCGTATACTTCCAAACGCCTTCACGTGTACGATCGCAAGTCAGACCCATACTGTCCATCTTGCAGTGACCCTAAAGACACAGCACACGCTCTTCTATGCCCAAGCCACGACCAGCATCGGAAGCTTCTGATTCAGCGGTATGCGACGGCCGGCCTCTCCCACTCCAATCTTGAAGACCTTCTAAATCCAAACGGGACTCAAGGAGTAGCCGAGAAGGCCTTTCGTGCTCTCCTGGCTTATCTGCGCGAAAGTGGACTTGCAAGCCGGCTCTAGCGTATTTACGCACTAATCAATTGTGCCAGATCTGCTTTCTCCACAAAGTATGGATGCCCGTTTAAATGGGGCTATTCAGAGTCACGCTACTCGTCTGTCAGCTAACGATTCAATGCCCCGTTCAAACGCCTCAATCATTCTTTCTTTTCTTTTTCTCTCCCTCTTTCCTCTCTATTCCTCCCATTCCCCAAAAGCTAGGCAGCGACTTGCCCCTGTACGGAGGCCCACATTTCTCCTAGCTTCCCCCCCCCCCCTTCCCGACACCCCACAATAAACAAACAAACAAGCTCACGGGAGAAAGCTAGATGATTAAATGCACTTTAACGGAAAAATAAAACATTAAACATCTTTGCACGTTGCCGGTTTCCTAAAGACAATACTTTGCATGCTGCGAGGGAGCATGCTGTTCGGCGGGGGGATGGTTGGTTGCACAAGAATACTGACGTCCCTTGTTCGGCGCACTTCAAAGATGACTGCTTTGACACAAGCGGTCAAGCGAGAAGACTTCGACCGGGTAGCATTCCAACTATGTTTGTTTCCTCTCGTTTCCGTAAAGCCGACCCGCATGTAAACGATTTAGCGTGCGACGAGACGAGTGACTAAGATTTCTCACGGTTGCCCGTTGCATCGCTCGGTTTTCGGGATTTCTAGAAAACGTCGCTCACCGTCTTGGTCGCTTCGCCGTCGCTTCCATGCGGTTTGCCTCGTCGTGCGACTGACCGAGCGACAGCGAAGCGGGTTGCTGTTGCTCGCCAAAGCGCTTACATGTGGTTTATACTCAATTAATTTACAAGCACACAACGTTGAACCATTGGTGCCTCGATTTTAAGTATAAACTGCATGCAAGCGATTTGGCAAGCAATGAGACAAGCGACGGTGACCCGCTTCGCTGTCGCTGGGTCAGTCGTGTGATGAGACGAACCGCAATGGAAACGACGAAGCAAGCGACCAGGACGGTGAGCGATGTTTTCTAGAAACCCAAAAACCGAGTAACACGACAAGCAACAGTAAGAAATCTCCGTCGCTCGCCGCTGACTCTTGTCGTTGTCGCCACCGCTCGTCTCGTCGCAAGCTAAATCGCTTACATGCTGGTCATCTTTACAGAAACAAGTGTGCACATGCAGCGGAAAGCACGACTGGATAGCCTTACTGCGTCAGTTGAAATCTGCATATGTCGCAATGGTGTAGACTGCCCTTTATTAGCGAGAAAAACGCCAGAACGGGATGAACTTATATGGTCTCTGAAATCATAATCTTTTATCGTCGATCCATTCGCTGTCCGATTCCATTTCATAAATACGAAAATACAAGAGCTGTGTTGAAATATAGATATCAAATGATTAAACAAAAGCCAGAAATATCGAAAAGACACACAATTTCAATGTTGAAAGGACACACAATTTCAACACGGAACGTGAAAGAACACGAAAACAAAGCTCCGGTAGTGGCCTGTGCAGCACACAACGCGGGGAAATGGTGAGAAACTGAAGGTCGGCTATGGCGGCAGGGTCACGTGACGTCAATATGCCGGCGCCCATGAAATGTTGCCTGAAAGGGTCTATACCTATGCTTCTCTTGTCTTATAAAGCATCATTGTAACAATTGTGCAACTTTCTGAAGTGCTTTTCTAAAGTGCCGTTAATGTTATTGAACCACGACTAGTTAGCTCCACATACTGTGAACAACTTTATTTTTGCGGCCTCAATATTTCGCAAATTTGGAGAATATTTCATGCGCAGAAAATTTTGCGAGGAGTGGTGAGCTATATATTCTTTACCATATATTGGTGGGATGCGTTTTTTGCAGAAATTTTTAAGTCAAGAAATTTGCGAACAATTAAGTTGTTTACAGTAGTCGGGCACGCTTATTTGCCTCCCAAGCCTTTGTAGGGCCTGACAAGTCAATCCCCTTCACCGTGCTATGGTCTACTAGAATCTAGTACATTATAACCGTGCAAATTCACGCCGCTCTTCCATCAAGATTCAATTTCTCGGAAGAAAACCGAAAAAAAAACTCGTCCCCTCCCCCGGCTGGTGCCGATGCCGTCATCTGAACGCAACACAGCGCTTTGGCATTGCCACTGGGAATCGCACAGTGCCCTTGCTTCAAGCAAAATGGCAGCCTTGTTCCCACCTAGCCTAGCAACACATGCATTTTGTACTCTCGAACCGGAAAACAGGAAAAGGGTCCATTCTCTACAGTGCTTACTGGTAGCACCCACATTTGCAAAATCGTCCGCTGACAGTGAGAGTACTTCCCCTATTTCAACAACTATAGCATCAATGTGTATTTTTGCAACAGGTCTACATTCTGTTTCACATCACGTCCCACCGCAGCGGATGCTCCAAGCCGCCTTCAGCCAACCCAGCTCTGCGAACGTAGCACTTGATATGCTCTATGCATGTCACCCTCTTCAAGGTCAAGTAAAGGCCTGGTCACACATACAGCGGAGCGTTAAGTTAGCGTTATGTGAGTGCTCCAAAAAGCGCTCATGTGGTGCTTCCTTGTACGTGACTTAGTTCTAATATAGCGCGCAATCAGCACTTTAGTAGCGCTCCTTGTAGGACCGTTATTGCTGCAGATTAACATGTGTACTGATGTTAGGTTCCTGTGGTTGGGTGTGCAACAGTACCATGACGGACATGTTGGATGCTGAAATAGAAAGGCGACAAATGCCCTTACATACGCAACTAGTGCATATGTGTGTGGACGACTTAACGCCCAGAAGAGCCTTCTGAGTGCACGAAATCTTTCGCCACCGAGATATCGACGGGTATCCGGTGAACCTCGTTCCCAGGCCGAGGGACCGGGACACAGAGCTCTTTAGAAGGTGATTATTTTTTAACTGTGTGTCTCTGAAACCAGGATCACACATGTTGAATAGAAAGTGATAAGGTCGTACCCAATCAATTAGTTGCTCAGAGTCCATGACTCTGAATTGTTTGCCCGACCCTTTGCTTGGAAAGCGGCTCTTTTACTTCCTCTTCTTTCAATGCCAAAGGAAAAATAACAACGGAATCGCCGTGCATGCGTTGCTTCGCAGCAGCAAGCACGGCACAAGGAGCGCACTTGCACTGCGCTGCTAAAGCAACAACCGAGCGCTGCTTCCAGTGCTCATGAAGCGCTAACTGAGCACTCCGCTGTATGTGTGGATCAGCCTTAACACTCAGAGGGCCTTGGATTGGCTCCGATGGCTTGTAGCTGGTGTAAAGCCCCTCTATCCTGGGAAAAGCGGCACCATTCATTGTTGTGGAAATGCTCGAGACTTGTGCCGCGCACCACCTTTTGGGAAGAACATGGTGGCTGAAATTTAGCTCAGTGCTGCGCTGTGCTGCCATGATCTTCCCAAGGGCTACACGTAGCACGTACCTCGTGCATCAGCGCACCTTGCGCTACTTTTGAAACATAAAGGGGCTTTAAGGTGGTGCAGTTGGCAATGGTTGCCCCGTGGCCGCTGTTGCAAGAGCAAACTGTGGTTCAAGCACAAAGTTGTGAAGGTAGGCTTGTTAGTCATTAGATTAAGGGCTTGGGGAAAGTGATCTATGTGACTTCGCCCATTACCTGGCCCACCCTTCTGTTGGGGCTTTCGTAGGGATGGCACAAAGAGTATGTTAAGCAAAATAGCTGTCAACATAAGAAAGATATGACAACAATGTCAGCATGCAGAGCATGTTATGGTCTTAACTGGGCAAGAGGCTAAACCTATGAGCATACCACTGCAAATATTTCATGTTGATCTATATAGCACACAAACTGCCTCTGCTTGCCGAACGTTTACCCCTGCATCCTTATTTTCAGAACGAGGCTGGTGTGCTGCAGTAATCAAATGACAGATGAAGAAATAAACTTCAACATATCGACTGACCTCACTGAAGTGAGCGCCGCTATCCTTCAGCATCCCGCTCCACTCCCGGCTGTTCGATGAAACCATGGCCTGCCTTGCGGCTCCTGCAGAAAGTGTTGGTCTCCCGGTCATCCTTGCTCTTTCCCGCAGAACCTCGGCACGTCCACCGCGGGCTGCTTTGCCTCGGGAGGATGACCGTCAATCCAGCAGTCATGACGAACAGACGCTTAATCGCCGCAAAAAGAACGAATCGACTGAATCTCGACAGCCACGTCTGGTTTCAATAGGAAAATGCCGAAGGTCTTTCCACAAGAAACCCCAGTTGCCCCAGTCACGGAACCCCCAGATATCAAAGCACGTGGTACACCGAGTTTTGGGCTAAATAGACAGGCAATCGGAATCTCGCGAAAGAAATACATACGTGAAAAAATCCACAAGGCACCAAGAAGGGAAAATCAACGCTCAGAAACGGGGATTCACGACAAATGGAGGTGGACTTGCGAAGGTTGCAGGAACACCAGAAGGTAAACAACGGTCAAAACGCGGGAAACGAAGGGATTCTCCCGCTTCTCATCAACTGTAACACGTGACATTGCATATAATAATTATCTCAGAATGCATTTAATATAACTAATATAATTTCATTTCTACTAATTTAAAATTTATATAAATAAACTTAACAAAATAATTCACTCAATTTATATAGACACGTGACTTTTTCTTAATAGCCAATCAGAATTCTGGGTCTACCTAACGCTGGGCGTTGCGTAGACCGGGTCGACGCGCCTACTTTTATTGTATTCTAAGTGGTATTCTAAGTGGAATTTTTTGTTTTGTATCTGCGTTTTGCTTTAAGTGTACTTCTTATGGCTTAGCATAAAGTAGATTCAATATAGTAGTAGGATCAGGGAGATTAAGTAGAAATTTAGGGGTAGAGGGAAGCGGTTGTAGCGGTAGTGTAGGGTCACGTGTCCGAACACGTGTTGATCAATTTTTTTTGGCGGGCGCTTTGTCTCTCGGTCGGTCAATTTGAAGTTATATATATAGGGACACTATTTCTTCTCCTCAGTTAGATTTAGAGATATTAGGAAAAACAGAAGCGCGAATGAAAAAAAAAAAAAGAAAAAGACCCGGACAAGGCCGAACCGGATATGCCCAACGGTGCTTCGTGGCTTCGTCAGCTTCGTCATGGAAACCCCGGTCGCGAGAGTGGAGGAAGCAGCGGACAACGAGTACCAATGCTGGATCTGCGTGAATGCTGATGAGGTGAAGGGGATGTTGGAGATGATGAGGGGGGAACTCGGGATGGAGCGGGAGGCTCGAGAGAGAATGGAGATGGAGGCGAAGGAGGCTAGGCAGGGGCTCAGGGACGAGAAGGGCGAAAACAAAGGGGTGAACGGGGGAGAACTTGGCGGGCAGAGGAAGGGAACACACGTACAGTGCGTGTGGTGACTGCGAAAGGTATGGACATAGATGACATTAGGTTTGATAGCGTAGAGGAGGCAGGGATGTCAGAGTTCATGTGTAGAATGTGCGTCCTAAACGCACGACAGGACAGGCTGGAAGCAGAGAACACAGAGCTGATGGCAAGGATTGTGAAGCTAGAGGCAGAACTGGAGAGGGAAAGAAGTGAAGGACAGATAGTGGACAAGAAGTTGGCAGATCTGGAGGTGGTCCTTTTGCCATCGAACGACACAGTCGTAGAAAGGGATGGGGGAGGACATACAAAGAAGCACTGAAGCAGGGAGGAGAGGAGATGGGAAAAAGGGAGGAAAGGTCAAAGGGCAAGGCCCCTGCTTTAAAGGGGTACAGAAACAAAAATTGAAATATTAAAATTTCGTTCGGAAATAAGTCGAGCATGACGAATAATAACCGTAATTGATAATTGCACGTTTGTATTTTGAACGACTGGCCACATTTTTCGTTCCGAACGGTGCACTTGAGCAAACGCTCGAAGAGAAGCGAACAAAGTGCGCGATGCGTCATGGGATATCCGGCGCAAACAAAAACAAAGAAAAGATTCCCCGCATTCCTGACGTAGAAAGGCCGGCGTGATTATGAGCTTTGCCCTTGGTGGCGTTGTCAGCGCTGTGGTGTCAATAGCGTCGGCACGTTACAACCGAGCCGTTCAAAGTACCCGTGGGGTGACGAGCGTGTGGCTGGCCCAAGGAGCATGTAGCTTCCACAACACTGTCAGCTTAGGGCTGAACGGGGTGGGAAAAGCAACCTTTGTTCGAGTTTTGATTGACAGGCTAATCTAGGGAGAGAGTGGCTGTGTCCAGCTGCACAAACGAGGGTCTGAGAAAGAGGGGAGTCCTTCCTTTCCGTCTTCTTGGACCGTTTAGTACAATGCGCGATTTGTGAGTTGAGGATGAAAGTAAAAGGAAAATGTTGAAATTCCAAAGAGCGGCGCTGCTCCGAAGGAATCTGCTACGCCACGACTACGTAGCAAGTTCCCCAACGTTGCTAGATTACCTCCCAAATAGGCTCCGCATGCATTCACCAGGTGCACATTGAAAGATTGTTTATTTAGCTTTAAAATTAGTTTTCTTGTCTTTCAACGGAACACTGTTTTTGAGGTTAGAGTGCAACATGCAATACATTCAAGCTAGAAAACAAGCGTTGGAATTTTGTTTCCCTACCCCTTTAACGGAGAGTAGGGAGGACATGGAGCGCAACGTGATCATAGCAGGGGACTCCACCATGCAAAGGTGCATTGGGGCAATAGCTGAGAGAGTGAAGGGGGACGCCAAGGTACAGATTGGGGTGTTGGCTGGACAGACAATGAGGGCAGTGATGGAGGGGGTGAAAGAGAAACTGTGGAGAACAAAAGAAGGCCAAAACCTCGAGATGATAGCGGGGGGGACTGAATAATGTGCTACGAGGGAATGGGGGAGGGGTGGGGAAGCAGTTGCGCGGGGGGGGGGGGTGAGGGCTTAAGGGCGACATCGGACAACGTACAGATCCATGTCTGCACAGTGCCAGAGGTGAGGGGGCAGGGCGTTCACATTGAGAGGGCTGTGATAGCCGCAAACCAGGACATCTGGAGACTGGGAGGGGAGATGGGTTTCAGGGTGATTGACATGAATTGGGAGGTGCGCAACAACAGAGAGCAGGCTTTTGAAGGGAGCGGTATCTATTTCAGCCCCTACGTGGGCAGGGCCGTTGGGTGGCGGCTGGCAGGGAAGGCGGTGGCTTTTTTAGGAGGCCCCAAAGCTCTCAAGGAGAGGAATCCTGTCAGGAGCAAGGCGAAAGGCCCGTCAGAGAGGGGAGACGGGGTGGGCACATCAGAGGGACACTGGAAAGCAAAGGGGTGGAGGAGGGCAGCAATGTGGGTCTGGGGGAGATGCCCAGGGAGGGTGGGAGGAAGCCACGCAGAAACAGGAGAAAGAAGCTACTTAACATAGCTTTCATAAATATGCAGGGGGGCAGGAACAGAATAAAGTGGGAGGAGATTGAAGAGCAATTAGAAAGTGAAAACTTTGCAGTGTATGGATTAGCAGAAACACATCTGAGGGATTTGGAAGAACCACCACACATACCGGGATATCATTGGATGGGATGCAACCGGGCCAACGGGGAACGCAAGGGAGGCGGATTAGGGATTTTAGTGAAGGGTCAGGAATGGGAAAGGGAACGAGAGGACTGCAGGGAACACATGTGGATCAAAGGCAATATTGGGGGTTTAGACACAATCCTGGGTTTTGTGTATCTAAAAACAGGAAGTGATGCAGGGAAGGAAAACGCAGAACACTTAACATGTTTATCAGGAGACGTTAGGGAAATCGGCACTAACAAGGAAATAATTATCCTGGGGGATATGAATGCACATTTGGAAGACTTTGATGGACTTACGGATACAACAGGGAGGATGTTAGAGGAGTTCTGCAAAGATCTTGATCTGGTATTGATTGGTTAACGCTCAGGTAAAATGCGATGGAAAAATAAGATGGGAGAGAAAGAACTCGCACTTGACTATTGACTACTGTTTAATGTCGTGGAAGATATGCAACAGATTAGGAGGTATGGAAATTGATGAGAAAAGCACAAAAAGTTTAGGGAGAGACTATAAGAGAATTAAGATCAGATTTGGCACAGTAAAACCAGAAACGCAAAATCAAAAATAAGAGGGTAGAAATGACTTAAATGATAAACAATTACAGGAGTTACCTAAGTGAATCGAGAACATAGTATGCAAGCAACCGGAAAGAGAATGGACATATGAAGACTTAGTGTTTTCAAAAGGGGATTAGAGAAATATTGAATCATACAAGGAGGAAGAAAACTAAAATGCAAGCCCAAAAGCTGGTGGGATAAAGAGGTTAAGGCAGCAATATCGAGACGCCAAGCAGCATCTAGAGAACACTGATGGGCAAAAAATAAGGGGGCCACACCAGCCGAAGTGACATCAAAATGGGAGGACTTTCAGGAACAAAAGCGGGAGGTATCAGCATTAATACAGGCCAAAATTGGGGGGGCAGGGGTCCAGTAGATGATAGAGATAAACCAGAAGGACAGGAATGCAGCAAAAAGGCTCTGGGAACACATCTGTGCACTGAGAAAAAAAGACCGAGGGGTACCAGCAGACACTACCATACAGGAAGGGACAAAGGGAAAAGGCAAGAGAATACATTAGACATACAATCTAAGCAGAATTTTCAGAGTTAGAACCAGATCAGGCCGTAGGGAATAATAGCATCTACACAACACAAGAGGAGAATCCCAGTGAAGAAAAGGAAATGACCATAGGGGAATGGGGGAAAAAGCATAAGGAAAGGTTCCGGCTGGAACTGCGACAGGTACAGACGGCATACCAATGAGACTGATAAAAGTTCTAGGCAAAACAAGCAAATCAAAACTAAGGCAGGTGATTGACCAGATACTTATGGGAGGGGAGGTACCCAGTGACTGGAAATTGAGCAGGATGAGATTATTATATAAGGGCAGGGTAACAAAGACAGTATCAAATCGTACCGACCAATCACAGTAACTTCAGTGATATACAGACTAGCTATGCAAATTGTAAAAAGAAGAATGGAAGAATGGGCAGAGAGAAAACAGATTCTAGGGGAGCTTCAAAACGGACGACTATACTTCGTTTCAGCTTAGGTCCGAGCACGGCCAATGTTATGAGCCGAAGGGCCAATCAAACAGCGAAAGAGGCACAACGTCATGGCGTGCTTTCTGCAGTTGATAGGACCAGCCGGTATTCGCCGTTTCTCTGTGCGTGTTCCTCTGCGGGCTAGTTCTATAAAGCGCAGAGAGCACACCATGACGCTGCACTTTTTGCACTGTATGATTAGTCTTTGGCTAATAACATAGGCTGCGCTCGGACCTAAGCTGAAACGAAGTATAGATGATAACTTATTTGCAATTGCTCAGTGCATAGAGATAGCAATGACAAGTCAAGGGG